AACCGCACAAAGAACCCCTCTCAAGGCCGCGCCAGAGCTGCACAGCGACGCATACGCACGCGAATGCGTAAAATGCACCTCGGCCCGCTGCCACCGTACTCCTCTCCGCGCGCTCGCTCGTTGGCGCACTTTTTTTTATCGCGCTATTCTTTTACACGCTTTTCCGGAACAATGGAACTACGAGCGGCAGATATACGTATGGTAATTGTAACTACGTCGTTTCGTACGTTTATCGGAGCTCGACCGTCATTTTGCTATTTCGGGAAGGCGTCGATCGCACGTCAATAAGTGTCTCGCGATGTCTAATCGATCGAAAACGCAGATCAACATTCTTTTAAACGCGACATTTATATCATTCGACGAATTCCTATGAATTTTCTTCTGTTTGATAGATACACTGAGAATGAATCACGTCTAAAAAGAAATAGTTGAATCAAATTAATGTTTCTTGTACCCAATAAATATATCTTTATATTTAGTAAATATTTAATAAATACTTTTGGTCTTATATATATATATATTCAAATAAATGATTTATTAAAATTTAGTATATTTTTTCAATTTATAAACACTATGAGATCATTAATGGAAAGATTAAAATAAAATTTGTAATACAACTCATTGCTAATGAAAATGTACGTATTTAATATTAAAATTAATATTTTTTCTAGAAGCACAGCCGACAATTTGCGCGCATACTTACGCGTCGCGGCGTTTCAAGCAAAAGCCCTGAATTTTCGCAATTTACTGCAAATTCAACTCGGGTAACGTGAATGTGTATTTGGTTTCGGATTCTCTAAAGCGCGCGCACCACTTGAAAGGTTACACAACGATGCGCAACGTGGATCGATCGCGAAGCAAACAAAAAGGTCGGTCTGGCGAGCCCGCGGCACGTACATATACCTACATGTTGTTGCATTTATAACTGGTTAATAAGAAGCGTCATTATCTACCGACAATTTTAGCGAGCTGACAATATTACCATTATTGCGATACCGCGCAATCGAAATGCTAAAAAATACACGTACTGCAATATTGTTGCGTCAACCGCGCGCGATTACGACGCGAGCGATATTAGGCACGCATTTTCTATAACTAATCGTCTTGCCCAACTCGATTGCACTTGAGATTAAATTATTCTGTCGATCACGATTTACGATTGAACAGCGTTTGATATAATATAACCGATAGTAATGTCAGAGATCAATTAAAGTAAGTTGTGACTATGCATTAATTTAAGAGTAATTATTTTTGAAAATTTTTAAAACATATATGGCTAAAGAGAATTCTATGGCACACAGTTATTGCTTCATTTTGTGATTAAGTCATTCTATCGACAATTATTGAGATTATGATATTTTTATATTTAAAAAGAATATAAACTCAGAAATATGTACATTTATTCGCACTCGGAGCGATTAAAGCTGCTTTAATAGAATACATTATTAATTCAGTAATGCAGATTGTAAATCATGTAATTAATTGTCAATATCGTCTCGACTCTGCTCATGAAAAATTGTACCATTAAACGCAACGACAGAATCCGATACGTGCGCATGTGCGCATTTTTAATCGTTCTCATCTTTATTCACGCTTAATTTATTGTTTATTGATGGAATTAAGTCTTTTGGGAAAAAAAACTACTGAACAAAAATTGCAACAATCGCTACGGCTGCATTTCGGGCGGTTTATAACTTCTTGCACAGTGGGTGCAATTTCGGCGCAACTGGATCACAATTATTAGCGCAACGGTCGCTCTCGGCCACCATCATTATTCCGCGAGTCCTCGGTAATAATCGGACGAGTTTCATAGCGGGCGAATGTGCGCGCGGAGCGAAAATCGATTCCTCGAAGGGCGATTCGCCGAAGAAGTAACGATCTGCGGTACAATTCTTCGAGCACTCCAGGACACGTGCGGTG